GGGATTCAGAGGGATTCACCTGATATTCTTATAATACGGCACGAAAACTTCAAGTTTTGTTTAATACGCTTTGTGGGTTCACAGAAGAGATAATCTACCCGAGCTTCCGAAAAAAGTATTGTAAAACGTATAAAAAATTTTTTATAACAATTGTGTAACGATCTGCAAGATCGGGGCACTCGGGACGTTCACCCCTGTTGCCAGCCGATCATATTACATTGGCTGGCTTAGCCGGCTAAGCCAGCTTAGCCGCGGCTGCCATAACCGGCTTAAATCACTAACAAATCCTCACATGCGTAGCACAAATTTGAAATAAATTATAAATTAAAAAATGAAAAATGAAAAAATTCCCATTAATGTATTTTTATTTGATATTTAATGATGAAGTTTGAGAATTAACTTTTTTTTTTTAAAAAACAAATGTCTTTAACCCCTGCTAGAAGGGGGCTAGTTTTTGAATTGGAAATTGCTATTAAGTTAAGAAATTACGGGATTTTATGTAAGCATACCGGGTGGGTGTTCTTCGCTGAGTTATATGTTGAATCGTTGTGTATCCGAAGTTACGCTGCCACTATCGGAGTAAAATGTCTGGAATTGAAAGACCTCCGTGGCCATGGTTTAGACCATGAACGTTCTTCCAGTTTCTGATGTCCTGAAATGCTGGGTTTGACGCTGTCAGGATTTATGGTGAATAGGATACACGAATCAATGAATTGAAAGCTCTTCGTGGCCACAACTATCTGTGATTGTGAACGTTCTTCTTGGTTCTCTGACGATTATGACGCATATACTCATCTGAAATTTGCTTTTTAGTGGTAGAAATGACGGGGGCGTTGACATACGTGGACGCATATATTGTATAGACTTTGTGGTCCAGTGCAAACTCTGGAGACATCAAATAGGTAAACAAGTTTTTGTATAAAATATTTATTAATGTCTATCGTATTCTACCGTAAATAAGCACCACCCTTTCTACCTCACTTTTTTAAATATCATATTAGCGAGAATGGCTTGGCTAAAGATCTCATTGCGATTTCCGCTAATCTGACATTTAAAAAAGTGGGGTCGAGGGAGTGATGCTTACTTACGATAGAATACGGTATTAATAAATATTATTTATCACAGGACCCAATGTTATTCGAGAGTTGGATGGGGCACTCTCTCAACCCGAAAATAGAGGAGCCATCGGTGTTATTGTAATCTCAGACTGTGGAAGATTTTCTGATGATGCGATAAGAAGAGCCAGGGCGTCCGTACACATTATAATTCTCACGAAAGAAGGAAGAGTTTGTAGAGACCTCGAAATCGCTTGTCAAAAGGCTTTTTTTTATTTTTTTGTCAATTATGTTTTATTCGGTTTTTTCTTTTATGTCTTTCTTTGCTTCTTTTCTATGCATAAAATTTTCATTTTTAAGAGTACTATATATTTATGATTGACAATTTGTATCGTTTTCTTCTATTCAATATATAATGCATCTAGAAATCATTTACCTAAATTATTTGTTGATAAATTTTATTTAATACAATGTTGTCACTGGAATACCCGGAAGCAAAGCTAATAATTCCATTGGAATTTTTATTATTACAAATTTCCACTGGAAGCAAAAAATCGCATCACTGATTTAACACAATTAAACTTTATATGTGACGTAAATCAGTTATGCATTTAGAGATGAACAGGGTAATCAGTGATACTAGTAGTAATAATAACTATAAATATTTTTAAAGTTTTTTTTTTTAATAAACTTTTCTTGTTCATTTTTTTCGTTTCATATACCTCGATTTTTGTATCGATCGGTTTGTAAGGAGGCAATTAGTTTAAAATGTTATAAATATAAAATTATAATAGTTAAACAGAATCTAAAAAGTTTCTGCATTGCAAAATCAATACGACGACCATTTCACAGGTCAAATTTACCCGATGAATACTTTGTAAATCATCTCTGATTGAGCTTTCAATCATTTATTTCTAATACTTCTAGCGTACAATACATCATTTGATATCCGCGACTTGAGTTTCTCTTCATCGTTATTCCATCATTTCCTATTTCATTGCAGAATACTCATCAACACGTTCAAATTCACTTCATTGGCACTCTTTATATCACAATTTCCTAGGTCATTTCTCCATTCAAATCGCCACTTTCAGCATTTTTCGAATACACTCAAAATGCCGTCTTTCATCACTGACTGTGCCGATACTATTTCGATGGATTGAACCTAGGTTTAATATGGATGAATGGCATGAGTGACCCTTAAGTGTGATTGGTATCCATGAATCTGGAATATCAGTATTTTTTTTCCAATGACTATTACATTTTTTACTTAATTCATTTTTACAAGTAATCTAATTATTTAAAATAAACTATATATTTAAATTTATGAATATTTACTATTTATAATTTTTTTTTTTTTTTTTTGTATTGCGAGTACAAAGAGCATTAAGATACTCAAGCTCTTGAATATTTTTTTTCGTGATAATTTAGGCATGACTTATAAAGAATATTTATTCATCCAAGTATTTAAATAAGATATCGATATCTAAAAAATATATTTAATTTAACGAGTTCATGACTGATACAGAAAAGGGAATTGTAATGAAAATGAATAAAGCATATAATCATCTAAGATGGACATGCATCGTTATGCTAAAACTTCAACCTATTTAAAGAATACTATAAGCAAGCAGATTATAACTGAGAATTGAAACCATTTAAACATATAAAAAAACATTTAAATTAAGTATGAACATTTGAACGTGCCTAACTGCTAGTTAGTAATAATACGTAAAAAATAAGTGAATAAAAAATCTTTATATAATTCGCGCTTTAGGCTCTGTAAATTTTTTGGAATTCATGTTCTAGATCTTGCAAATTTCTTCAATCTCTTGTCTGAATTTCTTTTTTATAATTCACGCTCTAGGTCCTGTAAATTGCCTGAACCTCTCGCTTTTTTATAATTCACCGTAAATTCTTTTTTTAATAAGTAATTACAAACGTCATCATTTCCAAAAATAGGGACCGTCTAAAGCCAGGTGCGTTCACGTGACTAACAGCCAATCAAAATATAAAATTTGATCAACCCGGATCAG